CCTCGACCAAAGAACCAGCCATGCGGGCGATTCTAGCTGCTTTTCGGAAGACAAGCGCGCAGCTGCTCACCAACACGCAGCAGTTGCAGCTGCAGTTCTAGACACAAGTTGACCGCCTGCGGACGGAGACCACCTCCATTCAGGCAACCAAAGCCGACGAGTATGAGAAGATAGCGCAGGCCGCCGTGGAGGCAGCCCATAACACGCCGAATACCAAGAAGGAGAAACATCCTGCGGCCCCGCCAAATCTGCAGCGGGAAGGCAGGGAGCGCCTCGCGCAGGCGTTCAGGGGGCACCCCGCTCGCTCGGCATCACCTCGCCGCCGTCTTGACGGCCGGGCGGGCGCCGAGGCGCTGCGAGCTGACCGCGGCGGCGCAGGCGGCCTCGGCGCAGGCGCGGCCGCAGTTGCAGCCCAGGAGGAGCGGCAAACAGCAGAGGCACGCCGCGAAGCTGAACATATCCCCGTCGGGGACAGCGACTCTGGGGCCGCCGAGGCCCAGACAGCTGAGGGCACCCAGACGCCCGTTGAGACGTCTGTTGTTCGCTAATGGCCGTGTCAGAAGCGTCTCGGCCTTCGAATTCAGTCCTTGCAGTCCCGGGCCCGGGCCCCCCCTTTCCCCCTGCCTCCTCTGGCGTGGAGCCTGCGGATAAAGCGCCCGATTCTATTGTTCTGCACTTTGGGCCACATGATTCACGAAACCCCTGACAGCCCATCTATCGACGCCCCCCGCTCCCATTCCGCCCTTGCAAGAGACTTGCAAAATCATGCAACGCCCCTGGCCCATCCAGCCGTGCACTGACGTGTTATCATGGGCCCAATATTGGCATTCGTCTACTATCGCTGCTCTGTCGAAGATGATACCTCTGTCCGCGGATGCCACGATTGATAATTTACGCATCTACACTGATGCCGCTCCAGGCGATTCAAGTGTGAGGGTGCCGCTGCCAGCCAGCATGGGCCCTCTGTTTGCTCGCTATGACCAACATTGGCATGGTTTTCTTAGCATGCCTGTCGGGCCCTCTCGACGGCCGGGGCGCGCGCGCCCCGCTGCGCGCAGAGCTCGGGGCGGCCATTCGGGCGACTGCGTGGCTCCTTCAGGCGGATCCAGCATATGGGCAAGCCCCCGCGTGCTACTACGCGAATAACATGGATGTCCTCCGCGCGCATCGTGGAGGGCGCGCGCGGGGCGCCGCGCGATGCGAAGTTGCCCCTTGACAGCCTCGCCCGGATATTGCGCGCGCGTCGCTGCGCTTGCGTTCGAGCGCGCGCGGGCACTTCAGCGCGCCTGCGCGCTATGTTGATCCCGCCGCAGTTCTTTGCTCCGGCATGGCGCGCACTGGCCGCGCAATCGCCGCGCAACAAGGCTACGCCATGGGCATGGTTGCTGCGCACTGATCAGCGCGCCCAGGGCGCGTTCCCCGCCGACCGCGGCTCCAGGGTTCCCCCCCCTCCGTTCCTGTCGCGGGCTTTCGGGCCTCGCCCCCGTGCCCGCTCGGCCCAAGAGAGGCCGACAGATCGCAGCAATTGGCTAACGCGCTCGCGCGTGACCCCCAAGCCCTTCGAGGCACTGCCATAGAGGCCTACCAATTCGCGGCACCAGCGCCTCGGGGCGCATGCTTCAACTCGCAGGGCAGTTTGCGCGGAGGCACGGTCGGGGCGCGACTCCAGCGCACGTGCGCTTCCGAACTCTGTCCATGCTGCGCATTGCCCGCGCAGGCACGCGGCGCCGGCTGTGCAGGCTGCTCGCTTTGGACCAACTTTCAATGGGAGTGTCAGCCAGGATGCAGACTGCAGCCCGCGCTGCGCGCGTCGCCAGCGGCTTAACTCGCGGCCGTCAGGGCCCCGGCGCTTTCGCTTTGTGTTTGCGTCGCCCATGCCCCCCATTCCCGCCGACCCCCTGACGAGATGAAACGATGGCGGGCACAACCGCAAACGACGGTCCTGCAACGACGCTGAAAGGCGGAACGCGCGACTACTTTGGCGGATGCCAATGCGGCGGTGGGCCCCCGAACGGACTCCAGCATAGGCCCCGCGCATGCGGGGGCCGAGAATCTCCCCGGCCTCGTTTCCAGGAGATTTCTCAATGCTATTAAGCAATGGGCACCATCTACTTACTATGGGGGCCACTCGGGCTCTGCAGGTACTTGGGTCGCCCCGGGAGATCGCAAACCACCGCGACGACGAGATAACGTCGCGGGCACTTCCAGTGCGCAGGTTCCGGCGCAGGGCGTGGGCCATGATATCGATCTCGGTTTCGCAACCTGATTGCAGTGTTGCGGCGGTTTGTCTGGCGTTCCCGCCCTCGTTCTTCGCGCCGACAGCTCCGCGGCCCTGCCGGGGGCAGCGCGACCCTGCACTTTATCAGGGCCCGACGGCCGCTCGACTTTTTCGACGCCAGCTAGCGCAGTTTCGACCCACACCGATGGAATTTCACAGTGCCGATTCTGTCAGAGTTTGCGAAGAGCGCGTTCGCGAGGCCACGGAACTCCCCACGCGCTCCACCCCCTCAGGCAGGCAACCGCGACAGTCGCGAATAGGGCACGATGCGCTACGCCTACAAGACGAGCGCAGCCAACACCTACGCTTGGCCCGCAAGATCGGGAAGGATGCGAAGCGCGCTATGATGAGGGCTCTCTTCTTCGCCTGGCAGTGGATGACAGCGGCAGTTGCCGGCCTTTTTCCTTGCCCGCCCGCCCTTGTCACTGCGACCCGCAGCGTGCGCTGGGCCAGCCTGTTGTCGCCGCGGCTCACCGCTGATCCGTTGCGTCGAGAGGCCCGCGTGCGCGAGCAGGAGGGCCCCAAGGCTCGCAGCCTCGACAAGCCCCGAATGCTTGCGCAGTGGGGCCACCAAGATGTGAATGCGCTTATTCTCCCACCCCCCTACAATCCCCCACGCTATCGGGATCCACGCGTGGCGGGAGATGCAGGGACATGGAGTCACATTGCATATTATTGGGGCTATGTGCGCGTGGACATGGCGCGTGCGCGCGCACATCGAGAGCTCATTCTCCTCCGCGCTACGCCCCGCATCCGACGCGCTGCAGCGACCGACGCGACCCGACGCAGTGAGCGTCTATCCAGGGATATCTCGGACGCTTGGGAACGACAGCAGTTCGGCATGGCCTTTCGTAAGCTGAGGGCCATTGGGCACTGGGCCCTCGAAACGGCACAACACGCGCGCTCAGCCCGCCATCGCATTGGGGGGTGGGAGTTATGCTTCTACCCATGCAGAAGCAGCTGACCGCTGTTACGTCATTTTGCTGAAGAGGAAATCGGAGTGGCCCCGCTGATGAAGCAGCTGTTGTTGCCGCGCAAATGCGGACCTCCCCCGCGGACCTCGCGCATGTCGTTGCATGTGGCGAAATTTCTCGCCTACCTTAGCTGACTATCAGCGCGCGCGCCGCGCGGCCAAGGCATCCGCGCCCAGCCTGGACGGCGTGCCCTGTGCGATGTTGCGAGCGTTTGCTCCCGAACTAGGTTCGATCTTCAACTCGGCGGCGGTCGAAGCCCGCCTCGGGCCGGGGGGGCCCGCGCAGTGGGAGGGGGGAAAGCTATTGGAACATTTTGAAAAAAGAAAGCTACTCCAGCTAAGTGCAAGCACCATCGGTCAGTTAGGACATCCTCACAAGTTGGGAAACAACAGACAGCTCCTCAGGGCCTCTCTAGCGGATGCACTGCCTGGGTTTACAGGGGGCTCGGAGCGTGGTGGCATTGCAGGGCGCGGGGTCGACCTGGCTGCTCTTGCTTTGCGTTTGTTCCAGGAACTAGCAGCTGCTCTCGAGTTTTCCGCGCACTTCTTCGTGCTTGATGCAGTTGCCGCGTCTCATAGGGCAGTTCGAGAACTGGTCGTGCAGGTTGGCACTTCGGACGCCGACCCCCGCCTCGCCCCGCAAACGGCGGGGCTCCATCCAGAGGCCATCGAGGATCTCAAGAACCACATCGCCACTCACCACTCCCTCCTCCAACGGGCAGGGGCGTCTCGGCATGTCAGGGCCCTCGCGGCCTCCAGCTGCACGGGCAATTGGTTTTGGCGCCCGGGGGCCTAGGCGGTAGCATGCGCATCAGAGGGCGCGGTGATGGGGCAACAGTTGGGCGATGCCATATTCAATTATGTCAAGGACGTAGCATACATGAAGCACAACAGGGACAGGGATTTGTAATCAGATCTTCGGATGCCAAGTGTTCCGCGCAGCTCTATGGCAGAGCTGCATCAGGCGCCCGACGCAGTGCGTGGAGGACTAGACGCGCGCATCTTTGACGACGGAGCGATCGTGGTCATTGGGCCCGCCTCGGCACCGTTGCCGGCAGCACCTTGCGGCAGAGGTTGTTGCTGCCAGTTTCGTTCGCAGGGGGCTTCGTCTCAATTTCGCTTCGGGCAACGCGGAAGTCCCACCTCAACTTCGAGGTCCTGGGCCGCGACGGGTTCGGAGAGAGCTTGGAAAGATAGACTGGGCCATTTTCGCATCAGGTCAGACATGTTGGGGGACTTCACGCTGCACGCAGTCCGGGAATGTCCTCGCCTGGGGGCGCAGCTGGACGGGAGTGGACCCGCAGGGCCCGATGTGGCTTATCGCGAGCCTCCACTATATCGTCAGGACAGCTACTTTGGAGACGAATTCGCGCTTCCTCCGAATCGGTTCCCCGAGCTGCCCTGCACTTTACAGACGCCTTGCTCTTCTCAGGGTTGCTTCTCAACTCGGGCACGTGGCCGGAGCTCACAGACGCACAGCACGCGCGCATGCAGCGCATCATGGGCAACAAATACCGCCAGATCCGTCCATTGCCGCATCAGGATGAACACGCATAGCCAAACATATTCATATTTGCGCTCGTCGAGCGAGCAGATCTTCGCGCAGTACTACGCGCACATCGTATTCGGACTCTGGGGCGCCCACTGCACTTCGGGGCTCCCACTCTGCGCAGTTCAGTAGCACATGCGCCCCTTCCCCGCGCAGTTTAGTGGCACGTGTGTATGACGCCGCGCGCGCCACACTCATGGATGCACGGGGCCATTGGCGATCTACGATGGTTGCAGGCCACGCCCTACTTGCACAGGTCTATGGCGGACCCTGCCGACGATTTCGCGAGCTGGGAGGCCCGCATTTTGCAATCGCTCCCAGCTTGGAAGAAGGCGCTGGACACGGCGCTACTATCGCACGCCCGAGCTGCCGCTCGTGCGGCAATCGCTGCTAGTGCTCAGCTGGCCTTTTTTTCCGCTTTTGCGACCAGCAGGAGTGCCAGTCCCCACTGCCGACGCTGGCCATCCTTTCCATCCTCCCAAGGAGCACAACTCCGACGTCCGATGTATGTTGTGCGACTGCGTGGGTGGCAGTGCGAAGGGGGCGAGACAACACACTGTGCGCATGCATGACAGTCAGGTGCGCATCATCAGCGGGTTCATGGGGGGGGGGGGGGGGGGGCGCATGAATGGCATGCTCTATGTCATTCTCAGCGCGCAGATTGCTCCGCGACCATCTCGCCTTCGACTCTCCACTCTGCCATCTCTTCTATATGATGCATGGGGCTGCTGTCACTCCTGTGCGGACTGATGCGCTCCGCGAGGAGGACCTCGCTTCGCGCCGCGCCCAAGTGCGCGCTGGTCTTGGCCGCTGGAGGGCCGCCTACCCAGCCAGCATCCGTTCCCGGGGGATGGCCTTTACCCTTCGGCCACGCTGGCCTCGGCTCTGTGTGCAGAAGCAGAAACCCGCACTTTGCTGCAGGAGGATGCATGCGAGATCTCCCCAGCAGCCCTGGATGCCTACAGAGCCCTCCTCGAAGCGCACCCAGAACGTCCGACCCCGCAAGGCCCGCAATTTGCAGACAGACATTGCAGGTATCGTACTCAAGGCTACAGTCCGTGCGCTGCGGAGGCATGCCTATTTGGCCGCTCGTGCAGCGAGCCTCTCTTTCTAGGCGGCTGTTCAGTGCGGCGTTCTCCCGCCAGAGGAACGCCCGTCACTGCCCGCCCACTCGAGCTCGCACTCCGCGGTAAAGTCAACGGAAGGGCCAGGCATGCCAGGGCGACCTTTCTCCCGTCCGGCCACATTCCTGTAGGACTTGGCATAGACAAGTCTGGCTGGCGGTGCGGTCCGACAGCGGGGCCCCCCATTGCGCTGCATGCGTGCCTCGAAGCGAGTCCCCGACGCTCGTTCCCCCGAAACGCCCGCTGTGGCCCGCCCCCGCGACGGTCGTTTGCGAGGGGGCGGTCTCTGCAAAGCGGGCATGGGATTCGTTTGTGGACGGTGCTGGATTCAGCGCGCGTTGCCCGGCGAGCAGGACCTTTGGGCTGAGTGGTTTGCGCGCCGCTCTAAATCTAAAGCCCCCCCATGCGTCTTTCCGAACTTTCCAGAGTCGCTGGGCGAAGCCTCTTAGGCCTTCGCTCGCTGTCTGTAGGCCTGTCCGGGTATTCGCCCCGTTGTTTGGCTTTTCCTTGACCCCTCCTCGTGGGTCGCTCCCGTTCGCCTCTGCCAGTTTGCGGCCCGCCCCCAGCGTGCGGGGGCAAGGGGGCGCGTCATCGGGCGTTCGACGACGACGACGACGACGACGGCGGCGACCCCCCCCTCCTCCTTCTCCTTCCCCCCTCCTGCTCCTCCACCACCTCCCCCTCCCCCTCCTCCCCCTCCCCCTCCTCCCTCCACTTGCCACTCCGTCGTGACTCAAGTAAACATCTTGGCTCAAGGTGCCCGCGGGCCTGCCGCCCGCTTCCGCGCCACTGGCCAATGTGCGACAGGGGGCGCGCCGCCTGCAGGGTGACCGCCTCTTGTGCTTCGTCGTCGATGGCGCGGCATAATCGGCCCCGGCGCTCTGCGGCTCGCAGGGCGCAGCGCGCTGGCTTAGAGCTGTTCGCCGCGCTGCAGATAACGCCATCGGCTCAGCCTTATCCTCCTCCTGTACTTCCACGCCCCGACAGGGCGACGGCCGCGGTTGGCCCCTGGCGCGCCGTCTATCTGGAACGCGGCCCCGCAAAGGCTGGGGCCGAGTATTGTCGCGGAGGCCCCTGCCGCGCATATCGCAGCTGTCGGCGCTCCTTCTGACTCCTATTGTGGGGGCCTGCTCTCTGGGAGCACGGCGTCGCGCTAGCCGATTGCCCCGCGCCCGCGGAGGGCGAACTGCTAGATGCTCTGCTCGACGGCTCGAGGGTGGATCAGACCAGTTTCCGCTCAAACGCGGTCGCCTCGCCTTGCGCAGACGGCAGGAATCAGAGCGATGCCGCCCTCGAGGCGCTCGCGCGCATCGACGGCTGAACCCCGACATGGCCGACGACACTTTCGAGGAGACGCGCCCGCCCAGCGTGGGCAGCAAGGAGCTGAACGACGCCACCTGCGAGAATATCAAGGACAACTTTGAGAAGTACGAGATGGCGCTTCACAGCGGCGCCGTTTCGGCGCTAACAACCCAGACAGAGATCGACGGCGCGAAGCGCATCGGCCCGACGGAGGACGAGATCGGCTTCCAATCCAACGTGGACGACCCGCCCGCCCATCGTTGCCAGCAAGGAGCTGAGCGACACCTCTTGCGAGCTTGTGGAGCGCGCCGACAAGCGGAGACCCGTCGTGGTCAACCGCAATCTCGAGGAGTGCGATGCGGCGCTGCACAGTGGTATCGCCTTGGAGTGCACCACCAATATGCCGATCGACTGCGAGGACGCGGTCAGCTCGACGGTCGAGCAGATCGGCTTCCGCCCCAACATGGTCTACCCGCCCACCGCGGACAGCAAGGGGCGCAGAATCCGCCTGCGAGGATCTGGAGCGCATCGCCAAGCTGCGCCCCGTCAGGCTCAACGATCATTTCGTAGACAATAACCCGCCCACCGCGGACAGCGAGGGGCTGAGCGACGCCAGCGGTGGGACCGGACAAGTCGCCCTTCAACCTGGCCGCGCTGATCACTCAGCGCTGATGGGCTCGAGTCGATCGACCGCGATCGGCGGGCGCAGCTTCGGGGCATGGCAGCGCCCCGACGGACATGCGCTGCGAAGGGCGACCAGAGGCAAGGCATGCAGGCTTTGCATGGTGCGCCGTGAGCCTTCCGCCGTCAACTTCAAGCCAATCTTCGCGCCCCTCTCCTGCAGGCGAAGAGCCCGCGCAGCCTGCGTGAAGGGCAGGCGCGCGCACATGGTCCAGGTCATTCGACTACTGACCGCGTTTTCACCTTCATTTGTGACGCGAACCAGCAAACGAGCGGGGTTAAAACCTGTGGGCCGCAGCCTTCGATTTCAATTATCCCAGCGCGGCCCTACCTAGGAATTGGAGCCTCCTGGGAAAACAGCATTAGTAGGAGCGGTAAACGCCGTCCTCGTCCTTCTCCTCTTCGTCGTAGCTGCAGCAGTAGCGGTAGTAGTAGTAGTAGTAGTAGTAGTAGTAGGAGTAGTAGTAGTCTTTGTAGTCGTAGTCGTAGTCGTAGTCGTAGTCGTGGTCGTAATAGTAGTAGTAGTAGTAGTAGTAGTAGTAGTAGTAGTAGTAGTAGTAGTAGTAGTAGTAGTAGTAGTAGTAGAAGTAGAAGTAGTAGTTGTTGTAATAGTAGTAGTACTTGTAGTAGTAGTAGTAGTAGTAGTAGTAGTCGTAGTAGTAGCGGCAGAACCGCCGACGCCACGCCGCAAGTGAAGCAGCAGCAGAAGCAGGCAGCAAGTCGCCGAGACAGCGGCAAAAGCAAGCAGGTACGGAGATGAGGGCGGGGCACTAGGGAGTTCTTTACATCTACATCTATATCTACACCTACATCTGCATCGACACCTACGTCTACATCTAGACCTACATCTACATTTACATCTGCATCTACAGCTACATCTACATCTACACCCGCATCTACATCTACATCTACATCTACATCAACAGCGAGACTCACACCTACATCTACATCTACACTTACATCTACACCTACATCTACACCGACATATACATTTACACCTACATCCACATCTACACCCACATCTACATCTACATCTACATATACACTTTCGCATCGGTTTTGCTTTTGCTTTGCATTGCCTTTGCTTTTGCTATTGCCTTTGCTTTTGCCTTTGCCTTGGCCTACACCGCGCGACTTGGCATTGAGCAAGGTTGTGCAACACTTGCTACGCCGAACGTTCCTACGAAACTGTACAGCAGCAGCAACTCCCAGATCGATGCAACAAGCTGTTCAGCATTGTTTCTGCGGGCATCATCGGCGCTGGAATATGCGGTCTCACCAGAGTGGTGCGACCGCAACGTCCCCGCTGTCGTGGGGTCGCACGATCCGCTCTTGGCGCGCAGGGACTGTGTCGAGTAACCAGTAGTACACAGATCACCGTGACTGGTTCCCCTTCCGCAACTCGCAGATCTTGTAGCAGAAACGCTGCTAGTTAACAATCGGCCGTCGCATTTGAGCAGGGATGTGCTCGCAGCCGATTTGCAAGAGGCGGTCACCGAACTCGCTGCGATGCAGAATGCAAGCAAACACCTCATTCGCTCTGCAGCTCTGGTAGTAGCACTGATCCCAAGCGTTCCTCCGCATGTCAACAGTGCTCTCTGGCGCGATGCGCTCCCCGTTCAAGAGCAAGGCGTTGATGACTTTGCCTCCGCCCCAGGCTGTTGACCAGGACGTTCGCAGCATGAGTTCCGTGTGGTCACCCCACTGAACCGGGAGTAGCTTCATAATCATGAGCAAGTAGAAGGGTCGTTGGAACGCGGTGATCTGGTACTTCGTGCACAGGTGCTGCAGCGTTCTGCCTGGTCCAGGTTGTGCAACGCAGGACCCGTGGTAGTGGTGTCGACGACTTCTCGTGGTGCTTGTGCTGGCGCGGATGCTGCTGAGCCAGGTTGAACATCATTGGTACTGGGGTCGGCACCTGCAATGATGGCCGTGACTCGCGGTGGGCCAGGCTGTCCAGTATTGGTCTTGCGTTCTGTGAATCCGAGTGACATCGAGTCATCAGTCGCCGGCGCTGCTGGCCAGGGACTGTTGGTGGCGGGGCGCATGGTTGATATGCGCCGCTTTTTGCTCTGGCGGACCGGCTGTGCAGCACGGGCCCCTTCGCGCGAGCCCTGCAGGGCAATGCGGCACCTCTCAAATATTCGATGCCATTGCTTCTCGGGCTGGCCGGTGCACTCCGCGACCGCGGTCTCTGTTGCCTGAGCAGTTGTGCCGCGCCATGGTTCCCACCGGCACGTCCGCTGCATGGCCGCTCCTTGATGCCATTGGCCCAAGCTATCTACAGGCCGTCCATGGTAGTCTCTGCCCGCAAATGCTTCAGCACAACGCAGTAGTTTCTGTCCGACCTCTGAGGCACAAGCTCGGGCTGCATTTCGCATCGCGGTTGATGTGAATACCTCGCATGCAGAGCAGATCGGAGGCATCGCCGCCCTGCTATAGCGTTCAACAAGACGCTGCAACTCCAGTGCCGGTAGGTGTCGCGTTTGCGCTGTTTGCAGCGCGTCAATGGAGCGCGTGCGTGCACGCAGCCAGCATTTGCTCAGCATGGCAGGTTGTTTAACTCTGCTGGCTGACATGGCAGGTTGTTCAACTCTGCTGGCAGACATGGCAGGTTTTTCCATTCAGCTGGCAGACATCTTGCAACTCCATGGGCCTGCTGCCGGCACCATTGGCCATCTGGGTCACCGATGAGGCTGATCACGTCTAGCGCTTGAGGCAAAAATGACACCAGAACCCGGAGTGACACCAGAACCCGGAGGGGCATAGAACCCGGAAGGGACAGGGGGGGGACAAGCCCCCGCCCAAACCGCACAGGGCCCCCTGTGGCCCCGAAACGAATTTCGAATACAACATGCACAATCGGATGGGGAGCTGGCGGGGGATGCGGAGCGAAGCGCATCTTTGGTTTTGGCCACTGTTGTCATGCTGCAATGCTCTGTCATGCCGCGGCGAACGCCATCCAGCGATCGCGGGCTTTTACCTTTGCCGTTGCTGTTGCTTGGCTCCCAGGGGGCCGGTGGAACCGCCAAGGGCGGTTGGCACTGCCCGGCCCCTTTAAGCAAGGACAGTAAGAACCTTTCTAGGCAGAGCTCAGGTAGGGGAAAAACTTTCGATTCAGTTGAGCACGAGAGCATGTGGGCAGCACTGAAGGCGCAGCGAGTCCAACCCGGATTCATTGCTCTACTCCAACAGCTCTACGAGGGACAGACTGCCACGGTGAAGACAGACGTCAGCAGCAGACCCTTCAACCTTTTGCGGGGCACGAAGCAGGGCGACCCACTGGGCCCCTTACTTTCCATCGCGCTTCTCCAACGCATCTTTGGTCCGCTTGTCTCCGAATGGCAACGACAAAGAAGGGAGTTTGAGTGGGGTTCGCGAGCACCGCAGCGCTCACCAACCCACGTTTCGCCGACGATGTGCTCTTGACCAGCCAAACTCTCCCGCGTCCGACCTCGATGCTCGACGACATCGCGCGCGCAGCAAAGGTGCGCGGGTTTGAACTGCGCCCGAACAAAATCAAACTATTCAGCAATCAGACGAGAAGGGCGGGGAGGGCGAGCTCGCGCACAGCACGTGTCCAAGACATGAAGAGATAAGTCATCCCATGCGAGGGCAATCTCAAGTACTTCGGCCAACTGGTCAGCTTCCACGAACTAATGGGCACGGAGATTCAGCGCCGCATGAGAGCTGCGTGGGCGTCGTTTACTTCTCGCAAACAAGAGCTGACTAGCAAGTGCTACCCACTGGCTCACCGACTCCGCCTGTTCAACAGCACAGGAACACCGACAGCGCTATGCGGAGCAGAGACGTGGACGCTCACGGAACCTTCGCGGCAGCACCTACGACAGACACAACGACGCATGTTTCGCATGATCTCCAGAACGCCGAAACGCACGACAACGCAAACTGACTCTCACAGCAGCCAGCGACGACCAGACAACGAAACACCAGACAACGACGCACCAAACAACAACCACTGCAACAACAGCATTAGCGACGACGCATACGTGCACAGCGAAGACGGCGAAGTCAGCACTGCAACGGACCTGGAGGCACCCTGGGTAGAGTATATACAGCGAGCGACACGACGTGCAGAACACCTCACGAAGCTCCACCGCATCGACTGCTGGGAGACGGCTTACAAGCGAAAAGTATGGCGAATGGTTTCAGAAGTCGCAAACCACACCCGCACACGTTGGACACAGCAAGTGTTGCAATGGCGACCATACCTCAACCCACGGCAGCGAGGACAGGCAGCACGGTCGTCAACACAAACGTTGGGACGACGAAATCAACATTTGTCTACGCCAACGCAGACCAGACCTTCACCGACCGACCGCACATACCTGCGCGACAGGAGAACCAAACGACATTTCATGGATTCAAACAGCCAAGGACACCGAAGCATGGACGGCGCTCGAGCACCACTACGTCGACCTCACACCAGCAGACACCCAGAACCGAAGCCAATGACGCGAAGGCCCAGCGAAACATCCCACGTCGACACCGACACCCTGGACTTCCTCCTCTTCCGCCCCTTTTCCTTTCCCACGCAGGCTGACACGACCGACCCCATGGACCATCCTCCCTCCGTCCCTCCTCCTATTTTTTGTTTGGGCATGTATCTCGCATTGCATGTTGTTCAGGCGCGCCCGATTCCCGAGGCCACGGCCTCGCCCACCCGGTCTTGAGTAGGCCCAGGCGTTGTCCGCAACGGTGGTCGCATCGCATCGCATCGCATCGCGTTGTTGCTGTAGTGCTCGCAGGTGAGAGCCTCTGTGGAAGTGCTTGCCTGCGCCGCCCACCAGGGAACTCGTCTGGGAGGGCAATTTGCGTTCTGGCTTGTCCTCTTGGGTCCTCAAGCACGTAATGGATATCCACAGGCTTAAAGACTCACAGACGGTGCTTCCCTGCGAGAGCAAGGTGGAGGCAGCGGTTTTCGCCCCAATTGGATTCGAGTCGGATCGACCCCTGAACCACCGATTTGCGCGCTTGTCCTTACCCCTCTGTCCTTTCTCCCTCCTCCTCCCCCTCCTCCTTCTCCTCCTTCACCACCTCCTTTTCCTCCTCCTCCTCTCCTCCTCTTCCTCCTCCTCCTCCTCCTCCTCTTCCCCGTCCTCCTTCTCCTCCTCCACCTCCTCCTATTCCTCCTCCTCCTCTTCCTCCTCCTCTTCCTCCTCCTCCTCCTCCTCCTCCTCCTCCTCCTCCTCCTCCTCCTCCTCCTCCTCCTCTTCCTCCTGCCACAGCTTACGCCATTAGATGTGAACGCCCGGCTTTCGGCCGCAAGCTCTCCCCCCTCACGTGCCCTCCGCCATTCCCCCTCATCCTTCCTTTTTCCTCCTGCCGTCTAGGCTTACGCCACTGCGTGTGGACGCCAGGCCGTGTCTGCATCCTGCCGGCGCCGTACCTTTGCAGCAAAGCTTGACGCTTACGGTTTCGTGACAGACGCCTGGGTGCTCCTACTCTCGCCGCTGTGGACTCGCGTGCCGCTCTTCCCCCTGACGTACAGATTCCACTGATGCCGTTCCGCGCCCACTGCCAGGTCGTCCCAGCACGGGTTGGCCGTTCCGACCACTCCGCGGTGAGTGCCGTGCCCTTTTTCCCCTGCCTGCCTTCTGCGGCCGCCCTCTTTTTGCTCCCCCCTCTTGTTGCCGGTCAATTCGTGCGCTGCGCGCCTCGGGCTACTAGAGCGCGCGAGCGGATCGCCTTTGCCGCGCTGCGACATAAAAAGTGGACGCCAGGCTTTCGGCCACAGTGTATCATAACTGTCATAGCACGCTACGCCGGGCGGTGCGTCTCTCGCGTGCCCGCCCGGACATGTGGAATATTTGTTTGTGCGCATGGTCGAACGAGTGCACATCATCCTGCGACATGGTGGTCAAGATTTGGGTCTCTCGTCGAGTGTGGTAGAAGCGGGCGAGTCTACTCAATTCTTAACGTTTCGCGTATCCCCAACAGCCCTGGATGCCCTTTGCACGCCCGTTCTGGGGCCCCGCAGGTCCCCTGGACTGCACGTAGGCTCTGACGCCTTAGGACGCTGCTGCTTGCCGCCTGACCGCGGCCTCGCGCGCGCCCGCCGCTAGTCGCGGCCGCAGCCCGCCCGCGACCGCCCGCCGCTGGCGCTTCCGCCTGCGGCTGTAAAAAAAAATATCCCCAACAGCCCATGCAGAGACAGGAAAACAGGAACGAAGGGACACATTTAGTGAACAGGGAGGTCTCTGGGAACAAAGGGGTCTCGGAGTTCTCTTGGAGCTCTTTTGCGGGGTTTCGGGGTGTTCTTGGGGCCCTCTTGGGGCCTCTTGGAGATCCTTGGGGGGCCTCTTGGGGCTGTCGTGAAAAGTGTTGGTAAAAAGAAGGGGGTGCATCAACATAGCATCTCGGGACGCTTTTGGCCCCCTCTTGAGGCGCCCTTGGGCGGTCTTGGGGCTGTGTTGGGGGCGTCTTGGGCCCTTCTTGGAGCTCCTTCGGGCCATCGTGGGGCCACCTTGACGCTTCAAACATTCATCGGAAGCGAAAAGGCGAAAAGGCAACCATCATTGAGTTTCTCTAGGTTTTCGAAGGATTTGGGCTTCTCGGGGAGGTCTTGTGGGGTCTTTGAGGGTACCTGGAACCGTCTCGTGGCCTTCTTGCGGCGGAGGTCATCTTGAGCGATCTTGCGCTACCTGGAGCCCTCTTGGAGGCCATCCTGGAGCATCGGACGCCCTTTTGGAGCCATCTTGAGCGAAACAGGGCCCTCTGATGACTCGCGACCCCCTCGTCCAGACCCCTTGGAGGGGAGGGGGAGGGTACCCCTTCCCGAAGGGACGAGGGGCTTAGAGG